AAAAAAAAAAAAAAAAAGACAACGCTGAGTGCCTCAGGCCAGAACGCTGAGTCCCTGAGGCCCTGAGGCCAGGGGCCTACGTGTTCTTTGCTGTGAAACTGGGCAAAACGCGGTATTTTTGCTGGCAAACTACCGGAACCCCATAAAGCTGCAACGAAACCTCTATTTTTGCGAAGGAAACTTCGAACGGACGACCTTTTTGCTGCCAAACTTCCGAAACAGCAATATTTTTGCCATTAACCCTAAATAAAACGACGTCGTTATCAGTCAATCACTAGTAATGTAGTCAACGCGAGCTGCGGAAGTGGTCGATAACTACGCGGGCAATAAATAAACAACGTCGTTAGTCAAGGCGAGTTGTGAAAGTGGTCGACCACTTGGCGGGCAATAAATCAACAACTCCGTTAGTCTCCGTATAGTAGAGAAGGCGAGCTGTGAAAGTGGTCGATAAATAAATAAACAACGGCGCTATGAGTCAATCAGTAGTATTGTAGTCAACGCGAGCTGCGAAAGTGGCTAACAACTTGGCGGGCAATAAATAAACAACGTTCTTTGTCAAGGCTAGTTGTGAAAGTGGTCGACAACTTGGCGGGTATAAATGAACAATGACCAATTTCGTACGTACGGTAGTCAACCAAGGCGAGCTGTGAAAGTGGTCGACAACTTGGCGGGTATAAATGTAAATGACAAATGAACAATTCGTAAGGCAGTCAGCGCGAGTTGTTGGTCGACAGCTTTGGCGGGGTTTGAAAAAAAATGGACAGCGGCGGCGTGCTACCATGGTCAGCAGGCTTTTGGAAGCTACTACGGTAGGAAGGAGACAAAAGAACAACGCGGGAAATTCGGCGTGAATATGGACGATAGTTAGGCGGCGGATAGCAAGGCGCCAATTTCACGCAGGCGAGGGAGTTCGCGTGAAAGGCATTTGAGCGCATCGGCAATCTCAGGGCCGACTTGCGTGAAAGGCATTCGAGTGCATCGGCCGCCACAGCGGTAACTCTGCGACAGCAATTCGAAGGCACGAAGTGTTGTCTATACAGTTTGTACTTGTACTTGACGGCGCGGAAGACGGTGATCCTATATAATAATGTCTGCGGTAGAATACGGTAGGAATGATCTAAGACGTCACTCTCCGTTGCTCTGCAGGGCACTCACGTGTGCTGTTTGACAGTGCCTGGCTCGACTTCCGCTTGCTAGAAAGTAGC